CTGAGGTATCACCACATGTCGTCATGTAGCGTTTTTCCAAAAAAATCAAATTCTGTTGGTAAATAAAAAATAAGAAACAAGAATAACTCGTGTTTTATATGAAAAGATCACAAATTTTAACCGAACTTTGTCATTTTTTGAGTGTCCGATTTTTCATTCTTGAAACCGTTCGATATTGTTAAAGTATTTGTAAAACATGGTGTTATAGTAGTTTAAAGAATTTAGTCTTCTATGAACGTTTTTTTTAAAACACCAAGATACACAGGAACATGGGATGCAATTTTTAGTTGGGGGGACGCACAACCTAACAGATACAGACAAGTTTAGGTCCTAGCAATTGTTTCAATATGGGGGGGGGGGGGCAACCTAAAAAAAAACCTTATAAGCTGTCCAAATCCTGGATTTGCCAGGCTTGACATAACAGCAACAAAATGTGTGTGTGTGTGTGTGGGGGGGGGGGGGTCAACCAGTATGCATCTATAGGAAAAATTACTGTAGCAAAATATTATACTCGGAAAAAAAGTTGGGAACCCCCCTCCCCCCAACCCGCGTTCTATGGGCCTGAAGCTGACATTCTTGAGGAGGCACAACCGCAAATTAGCTCTGTTTTCTAATATGCATATTATTTTCATGTACTGGCAATATTATCGAGAGGGACAACAACTGTAAATTAGCTCGATTTTCTAAAGTATTTTATATACATTGAAAAAATTATGGGGGCACGCCCCTCCTCAGATTCCTACCGAATTAATATCCCTGTTTTCTTTAGCACGAGTTTTTAATAAGTCTGCCAGCAATCTTTTTTAATCAGGCGAAATAACACACAAGTACCTCTAGCTCCGAGATTGTTATTTTGGAGCTTTAATTTCTTCGTCGCAGTACTTTTACTTTGTTCAAATCTTTCTATGATAATAGATGTATCTAAATCTAGTTAAACATCACTGCCTTAATTCTCTAGACATATCTGTATTTATACGGTGCATTTACACTGCATTCCTCGCCGTTTTTTTAAATTAATTCTTTATTCGGTTTTTCGCATACAAATGGGAGATACCTCCCAAACTTTTACCTTGATTTTATATTTAAATACTTCTGAAAAGAATTTTTAAAAAGCCATCGGACGAAACACTTTGAGAGAGGTAAATGGAGATGAAAATCTAAAAATTAATTCTATCTTGCCTTATCAACAGGCTACATTGTAAGCTGTTATTATAGAAGGTCTGTGTCGTTTTTATGTTTTATGCTTCATACTTGAGCAATTTTTCAATTGTGATATAGATATACTTGTTTTTTTTTTTTGTTTTTTTTAAAAATAATTTCCTTTTTAAAAATAAAGTTAAACTTTTGATATAACAGTTGTAACTGCGGTTGTTTATATAATGACGGTTTATCAGTGAAACAAACTTTTTATTAAAATACGTCAAAGGAAAAAAAATCATGCAGTTGACACTTGTTCAGTTGCTCCGCATCTTTTCGTGATACTGTTGTGGCCTCACTGTGATGATAAATAAACGCTTTCTAACGCTTTCGATTTTCGAACATTAAAAAAAATCATAAAATCATAAAAAAGTTTTCAATCTGTGATAACTTCAGTTTGTTGTATCGAGGAGTTAAAAAAATGTCTTACTCATTGTGATGTCATAATCAAATGTGCACAAGAAAGTCGCCCAAATCATATAAACTGCGTACTCAGTTTTAATGACGTCAGCAAACCCGCGACCTACGTTAAGATATTCGTATGACCTACTGTGATTGTGACGTCAGGTTTTAAACTTGTTTGCTTCACAATCGATTGCATTCGATATTTGTTGTCAATTATGTTTGTTTCGCTTTCAGGTAATGAAAACTTTGCTTAAGACAAACAGTTTGGTCCTTGGGTCCGAAAAAACGCATATTGCCCTCGAACTCGGTCAATAAATGTAGAATGTACATCCAGTAGTGAGCTGCCTGTCTCTCTGTAAGCTCTTCACTAATTTTATCTTCTACAGAACATCTGCACAATCAGACTGGATACACAAGTACTAAGAATGACTCAGGTGAATAGAACTCAAATTTGTTTAGCAGGGAGATAGTTAGGGTCCCACATTAAATGAGAGAGCCTTATAGGAACCACATTGTCCGTCCATCTCTATCTGTAATCACTTTTATTGTGACAAGATTGAACAGTATGCTTTCAACTTTTGTACAGAATTTCTTTACTAAGAAGACACCAACATATTTTAGACATCTAAGAGTTTGCTTATAGCGTAGAGATGCAAGTTCCAATTACCGGTACCTTCATGTGATGGACGATGTGTATAATGCATTTTAGTTTGTTTTCTGCCATATTGTAGTCGCCTGCATGGCGCAGTGGTTAGAGCGTCTGTTCTAGAGTCGTGGGGTAAGAGTTGATCCTTACGTCGCGGGATCGAATCCCACTGCGGGACGTGGAGACCGTCCTTCGGATGAGACCGTATAAACCGAGGTTCCGTGTCGCAGCAGGTGCTGGCACGAAAAAGATCCCTCACTGCTCAATGGCCCTAAGTGCCAAGAATAGGTCAAATTTTTAGCCCTCCACCGGCAAGTGGTGGCGTCTCCATATGAGTGAAAAAATTTTCGAGAGGGACGTTAAACGACAAACAAATAAACAAAAAGCCATATTGTAACTTCCATCAAACCTGTAACTAAAGCATATTTGATTCCTGACACGTGAAATACTAGTACACAGATTATTAGGATATTGCCAAAGTTGTGACCTTTTGACCTTAGAGGATTATCCTTATGACATATTGACGTGATAGACCGTGATTTTTACATTCTTTTCGTAATTACTTTTAGAAAAAATTGTTCAAATGTTATAGAAATATCATACTTGTGTATGAAAAAAAAATATGCACACAGAGTTAATCAAAGGAAACTCGTCAATTTTTGAAATTTGTCATTTTTGGGGTAGGGATAAAGATTTACTAAAGGTAAGATATATATATATATATATTTGCTACTAAAATATGTTTTCAAATACCAATTAGACCGTTTACGGTAGCTCAATCGGTAGAGCGCTCGCTCCGTGATCGGGAGGTCGTGAGTTCGAATCTCGGCCGCGACTGACCTGAGTCGATAAAATATGGGTAGCAACTGTTTCTTAGCCATGCGCTCGGTACTTTGAAGTGAAAGTTGCGGGTCCTTCGGATGAGACCTTAAGAACCTAGGCCCCGTGTCACGGCAGGCGTTGGCACGATAAAGATCCCTCACTGCTCGATGGCCCTGAGTGCCATGTAAAGGTCAAAATTTGAAACCCTTCACCGGTATAAGGTGACGTCTCCATATGAGTGAAAAAATTTCGTATGGGACGTTAAACAACATATAATCAATCAATCAAATACCCATTAGAGAATAAAATTCTTTTAATAAAATGACCCTGCAATGTATTTTTGATTGTCACAGAAGTAATTTGTTTCAGCTGTTTATAATGTCAAAAGTGCATGTTCCACTTTATGATCATGGGTAGGATTTAGGATTATATCATTATATAATTTAGAAGGATCATTACAGAGCCAAAATTGAATAATATTGAAAAGTAAATAGCGTGAACTGCATCAAAGACGATTTCCAAGAAGATATCAATCAAAATAAAATAGGAAGTGCGTATTGAATAAATGCACCTTCTCCTTTCATAGACACAGTTAAGAGGAGTAACATTTTGGATGGGTGTATATAAATGGTTGATACACTACTAAGCCACAATCAGTAGAAAGCTATCTCACATTTTCTGAAACTTGAGATACATGTAGCTGTCCTTCAAATAAAACTAGGAAAATTATTCAGCCAAGATGGCATCGATATCGAAAAATCCATGGACTGGCTAATGGACTAGGTGGAAATAAAAAGAAATTGTTTTGAAATGTCAAATTCATTTCACATGCATACATCTCTTGCTTATACTGGAGTTTATCAAACATAGTGAAATTGATTTTATTTTTGCATTAAACTCATCCATAGTTTTTCGAATATTAATAATAATTTACACATTTTTTATAGTTGTTTTTTAGCCACAGGATATGATGTCTTTTCAAATAGCATAGTTTTTTTTCTTTTGGCTATTGGATGGGTTTTTTTTTTTTTTTTATGTTTTTGAATAGCTGAAAATCCTCCAAAAATTGATATTTTTATATACGTGGAATAGTACTTTACGGAATAACATCAATTATAAAAGCTTTGTAAATCATATCCTGATTTGTCGAGCAATATCTCTTTAGTCCATTTAAAATAAAAGAGAGAGATATATATGTGTTTTAGAAATGTATCAATTCACAATCTTGTAAATTCAACACTTGCAATTGATTACCAGAAAGCGACCAAATAACAGTATTTAATTCATGTCTTTGCCAGGAGAGCTGTGCTGGAAACCTCGAGTGATTGTATCGAGCGATACATATAAATTGTTTCTTCTCCGAACTTGCCACGAAGGCTCCTTAAGCTTTCCATGAAAGTTTATTTAAAAAAAAGTACCTGATGGAAAAGCTATTTTACATTTTATGTAATTCATATACTGAATTGACATCAGTTCTATGGTAAAGTAGTGTAGCTACAATTCTACAGAAGCAAAGTTTAGCTATTTAGGGCTCATTTACCAGTCCGCTCTCAAAAGATTGGCAGGTGTCTTTGTGCTTCCATCCCCCACTTGGGACAAATAATTACTTTGTCATACAATGTTGTTTCAAGATTAAAAATATATTTTGTATTCCATGGAATTGATTGTTCTCTTTTGGTATTATAATTATTTTTTACAGTAAAGTTATACACAATTGTAAATTGTTCTCCATAAAGATTATTTTTTACATTATATCGCACAACGTAAAAAATACGTAAAGATGAATCAGTAAATGGACTTGATGATATTACAAATATATATATTTCTCATTAATCTAGTAGATATGCCTTTGTATTAAAAAACGATAAAATTAATGTATAAATGTTTGATCATCCACAGAGATTGTAAAGAAATAATCTATGTTACCTACCTTGAAAGAAGAAGAGAAAACGTCATCCTCAGGGACATTTTTAACCTATTATTAAAAGAGTCAATTAAGAATATTTTACATTATAAAATATACATAAACATATTTTCCTTCATTGAGCCTCCAGGCTTTACTGTGGTTGAAATGGAATATCATGTCACACTTAGTCCACGTGTACCTTCTTTTAAAGTAATCAAAATAAAAGATTTTTCACACCTGAGTGGTTGTCATGCCTTATATATACCTGTAACTGACCATTGTCCGTGTCTTTCGTGTTACAGGCCCACGTGTATCTGGCCACTCACGTAGTGTGTGGCAGTATATACTGCGAGACAGTATAAATGATTTAGAAGCTGTTATTATGAGTTTATAACATATTTTCAGTGCAAAAAACTCTGTTTGGTATATCTTTAAACAAGATGCCAAAATTATCAGAGTCCAGTTCCGAAGACGAAGGGAAAACTCCCACTGACGTTGTGCAATTATTCGCTTCGGAACAAGAGTCGGACTTAGAAAATCATCTGAATGACGAAGAAGCAGCTCGAGAAAATTCGAGTCGACCAAATACGAGAAGTAATGTCAACGCTTCCACATGGACGGGCAAAGGCCCGGGAAAAAACAAGAAAGGTAAAGCCCCAGTGAAAAAAGTATCAAAACGTAAAAATGATGAAAAACTTACATCAAATAAGAAACCAATATAGGATTTCAATCCATTACAAATTTATTCACTTTTGCAAGAAATCTTACGGCGATCAGATAATAATTCTAACTTTCATGAACAAGAGAGTGCGGAATGTAGTACTTCCGGGTTGGACCAATTTCCAATGGAAGATTTAATTCCGGAAATGAAAAATGAAAATCAAACTTATGAAATTTTTTCAACAGATAATGATCCCGAGATTGTTTTTGATGATGAAAAAACTGAATTTAGCATGCCAAAAATATTCGAAGATGAAACAAAGTTTTGTGAACCTATTTCAGAAAATATTTCCAAGTTCATAAAGATGGGGTGTACCCAAAAGGCTGACATTTCCAAGTACATTGAGGAAATAAAAATTCCTGAAAATTGCAAAAATTTGATTCCCCCATGATAAATTCTGAGATTTGGAATAATTTATTCCCTAACGTTCAACAAAGAGATAAAACTCTACAAGAAGCTCAGAAAGTCATGGGAGTATCGATTGTCTCAATGATTGCATTAGCAGAAATGTTTAAAACAAATAAAGTTGAAATGATAAAAGCAAAGAAATCTGTGTCGGACGCTGTAATGTTGGCGTGCAATGCGATGTATGAAATGAACATTAAAAGGAGGTATATTTTGAAACCCTATGTTCAAAAACGTTTTCAGCAGTTGTGTTCAGCTTCAACTTCCATCGAGGAAAAAACGTATTTCCTAGCGATATAACAAAAAGGATGAAGGAGATAAATGATGCGTCAAACATTAATGAACAAATAACAGGCCAATCCATGTTTCAGTCAAGATCAGTTTCAAAAAACTTAAGGGGGAGACCTGCATACAGAGGCAGGGGAAGTTATACGAACAGTTGTCAAACATTCCGAGGAAGATCAAACCGGTCAAGAGGCTTCAGAGGGACCAGAGGAAGATACCAGACACAGTTTTAAATGTAAGTAAAAATTTATCTACATTTATTGCTGGGGGGTCTATCGGACCATTTAGATGAATGGGAAACAAATAACATCTGATAGGTGAATTTTAAATACTATCCTAGGCGGATATAAAATAGAATTTGAAGAAAAGCCTTTTCAGAACAAAATACCACAACCAATAAAATTTAATGAAATTCAAACTGATATAGTTGATAAAGAGGTTTCTGAGCTTTTGTCAAAAGGGGCAATTTCGGAGTCAAATTTTAAGGAAGGAGAATTTATTTCAAATATATTCGTTGTGGAAAAGAAAAATGGAAAATTTAGACCAGCAATTAATTTAAAAAGTTAAATGAATTTGTTCAGTATCATCATTTTAAAATGGAAACTTTAGATATGGTTTTGTCTTCAGTGAAAAAGAATTCTTATTTTGTTAGTGTAGATCTTAAAGATGCATATTTGTCAGTCCCTATTTTCAAAGGTGATAGAAAATACTTGAAGTTTTTATGGAAGGGAGTGTTGTATCAATGCAATGCACTATTTTTTGGTCTGGCTTCAGCTCCTCGAGTTTTTACTAAGGTTATGAAACCAATTTTCGCTTTTATTCGACAACAGGGCATTTCATCATTCTTTTACATAGACGACTCATTGATAGAGGCAGAAAATTTTGTACTTTGCAAACAAAATGCAAATTATCTTGTGAAATTATTGGAGAAACTTGGTTTCTTCGTGAATAGAGAAAAATCTGTATTAATCCCAACCACTAGAATTAATTATCTAAGTCATTTCATAGATTCTGTGGATTTTAAAATTTACTTACCAGAAGAAAAAAATTGGAAAAAAATACGTTTACTTTGCGAAACGTTACTCCTCAAAAAGATACAAAAAAATCAGAGAAATAGGTAAATTAATTGGTCTTTTTACCTCATTTATGTATGCAGTGAATTTAGCTGGATTATTTTCCAGATATCTTGATAGAGATAAGGTGGAAGCTTTGAGGACATCAAATAATGATAATGATAGTGTTATGATTCTTTCTGAATCTGCTAAAAATGAAATAGAAAAATGGGAAGTTGATAAGGAATCCTCAAATTCGATTTTATTTGGAAACTTAGGCCTCAAAGTCTGGATGGGGGGCAAGTTTAAATGGAACTTCTACTGGGGGTAGATGGACTACGGAGGAGTCATTATTGCATATAAATATTTTGGAGCTTAAAGCTGTAAAATTTGCCCTTCAGAGTTTGTGTAATGATCAGAAAGATATTCATATATGTATAAGGTCAGATAGTAGTGCTGCTGTTTCATACATCAATAATCAAGGAGGTTCGGTAATTTCATTATTTGAGGAGTCGAAAGAGATACGGTTGTGGTGTGATGATAGAAATATTATTCTTTCTGCCGTTCATATAGCGGGAAAAAAATAATATTATTGCAGATTATATGTCTAGGACGTTTAGAGATTCAACAGAATGGAAATTAAATGAAAAGGTTTTCTGTGCTATTTGTAGATCACCATTTTTTCCTGATATTGACCTTTTTGCCTCTAGATTAAACAAGCAGTTGGATAATTATATATCTTGGTTTCCTAACCCACAAGCATGAACATCAGATGCTTTTACGGTGAATTGGTCAGATTTTAATTCTTATATACTGAAACGCAAAAGAAACGCAACAAGCAGTAATCTACAAATATTTGAATTTTTTATCTAATGATTTTTAAAAATGAATACAGTAAGATAAAACTCGATTCATAAACATCAGAGATTTGATAAAAATGTTATATTATAACCTACTAACTTTAGAAAGTTATACATGAATGTTAACCCCCCCCCCCCCCGGCCATTCAATTACAGCGTGCAAGACTGCCATTTACAACCGTTGCAGCTTGATTTCTACGATGCAGTAGGTTCATCAATCTCGAGCTATGGGCGAAAGAAATATTCTTTGCCATTTTTAAATGCCTGTTTTTTCAGATGATGAGGTCGAATTTTCTCTAGCCAGCTGCAGTGTTATACCCTTGGACTTCCGGTCCAAGGACTGTCATTCATGCTAATGATACGTAAAAGCCTGTTGAGGCGTGATGTGTTGCATATTTGCATCTGCAACTCTCCATCACCTTTATTTTGAGATTTTCCAGCTAGAGCAATGAAAATGCGTACTTAAGTCATTTTTAGGAAGCCTTGGCATCGCTTACGGAAAAGAAAGAAGAATTTATTTTTCGTAACGTTGTTTCAGTACTTATGATGAACAGATACAAATTCTTAAACCCCCATATTATTGCCAAATATTTTGTTAAACATGCAATTTTTGATTTCTGTTAAGCGGACTCAAACTTAACTTCCGGTAATGGTATGAAAATCATTCAACCGATAAATTACCGATATTTACAAAGTTGAAGATGTCCTTACATTTTAGATACAAAATTATATCTTATATATAATATTTCCCCCTAAAATAGAATGTTGCGTTTCTTTTGCGTTTCAGTATATATTTCCTCCTTTCAGTTTGATTGGAAAGATCCTACAGAAAATAGAAGACGACAAGGCGAGCAAAGCTATTCTTATCGTACCAAAGTGGGGAACCCAGTCTTGGTTTCCAAAACTATTAGGAATGTTAATAGCCAATCCAATTCAACTTCCAGTCAGACCAGACCTATTGCGTTTAGTACACAACAATCAGTTTCATCCCCTAAACTTAAGAAAGTTGTTTCTATGCGCTTGTCTTGTATCAGGAATAGACTCAAAAATACAGGGTTATCAGAAAATTCTATCAGATATATCACTCAGTCATGGAGATCAAGTACAAATAGAAAATTTGACTTTATTTGGCATAAGTGGCAAATTTGATGTGATCAAAGGAAAATCAATTCCATGCAACCATCTTCTTATGAAATAATAAATTATCTGTCCAGTCTAGCAGAGAAAAAACTTTCTTATAGTACTATTAATGCACACAAAGCTGCAATAATTGAAACAATTTCAGCCTGTGGAAATTTTTCATACTTACAGAGTCCAATTATTATTAGATTTATGAAGGGTGTATTTCTTAATAATAGACCAAAACCAAAATACACTGTTACATGGGAGGTTAGCAAAGTTTTGAATTATCAGAGAAAACCACACAGATATAAATTTCTTAAAGTTTAATGGCGAATAATGGCCATGGCAGCACTACAATTTTCAGTTATAAGCAATTACAGTTAGTTACTGGTTACAGTCGTAACCAAGGTTACCGACCCAAATACATTGGGCGATTTTGGCAACCCAAATGGCAAATACATGTAAATGAAAATCCACAAGAAATAGGCAAATATAGAAATGAATATGAAATAGGCAAATATACAAATGAATCTGTTAAACAACCTACTGGCAAATAATGCATTGCAAATGTTTCATTCAGTCTGACACAAATAAGCAAATTGAAATTTCACACATATTGAAAAT